GGGGGGGGATACTTTGCTGAGAATAAAACAGTAACTCTACAATCCTATTTAATCTGAGGCTATGAAAAACAATCCCACACCCATCTCCCATGTTCTGAGTAGCTCCAGAAATTTTCAGAAGGAAATATTAGGATGAACTAATACTAAAAAGAACACAGTATTTCTGCATGTTTAAAAAAAGCCCCTTTTTTCATGGATTCTGCCTTGACTGGTTTACTTTATGCCTGAGTCCAGGGAATATGTATGCTAACAAGTGAAATTAGAAAGTTAAAAATCACAATGACTGTAGAACTTATGAATCCTCGCTGTTGTATTTATTTAAAACTGTAACATTGCTTTTTTAATAATCTGTATTGATAAAAAATTTTGTCTTCAAAATAAATAAATTAATTATATCCTATCACTGACATGAGTTTTATTTAAAAAACAAAATCTGGTAATATCTGCATTGTGAACTCGCTTTTTATTTTTTGTTTTCAATAAACCATAACTTGATGACTGAAATTTGAATTCTACTTAATGTAAGAAATCTACGATGCTAGCATATATACTCATGTATAAGCTGAGTGTATAAGCTCATTTTTAATGCAGTTTTTGTGGTAAAATTAGGAGCCTCGGCTGATATTCAGGTCAGCTTATACTCGAGTGTATACGGTACTTCATAGATCTAAAAGCTCCCACAATCCTCCATATTTCAGGTCAGAATATACTAGAGGTACACTTTCATTATTCCAGGGGCACCCCAAAAATCCAGGTACACATTTTTCCCACTAGGTGAGCAGCCAGCAACTTGCTGAGTCAGTGCACCCAGTGGCATCGCCTGGGAAGGTTCTCTCTGGTCACAGTGAAGTTTTTCGTAAAAGCAGTTTCACTTGAACCTGGTTTTTTGTGACGGCCCACCTAAGAGAACAGCGTGTGGTGTGAAATGTTTCCTGCTCAGGAAAAACACCACAGAAACGGTTCTGATCTTGAACACAACTTAGAAGGACAACATATGGAAGAAACAGTATTCAAGTGGGTTTCTCCTTTCAAAAAAGGGGAAATATTGAGTGACAAAGAAGAAAATGTCAACTTGCAGTGCATTTGGAGGTCGTTCCAAGGTCAGACTGTGAGTCAAGCTTTTGGTTTAGAGGTTCTGAAAGCATTGTGTTTATCAGTGTACAACCAAAACAGGACTGATTTGTGGCGGATAGTGGATCTGCTCACGCAGCCAACTCAGTGTGACAGTTTTTGGCAAAAAAAAAACCCCCAAAACACAGCATGCCTCTCTTGCCCCCCACACCTTACTCATCTCACCCCACTCTGTGACTCCTTTTTGTTTCCATAAATGAAGAGGGACATGAATGGACAGTGATTTGACATAGAAGAGGTGAAGGAAAAAATGAGGGAGGTGCTGTCAGCCATCCAAACAGATTGAGTTTGAATGTTTCCAAGAATGGAATCACAGATTTGACAAATGTACTAAGTGTAATGGTGTGTACTTTGAAGGAAATAAGGTTGTTTTGTAAGAAAATTTAAAAACATAGGTTTTAGGGGGAAAATTCCAGTTTTTTAGGGGTACCCCCTCCTATGTCCTTCTGTCTACCACAAATGCATGACCAATGTGAAATTAAAATGCTTTTAAGGATAGTTATACACACAGCATCCTGACCAGTGCCAACAAGTCTTTACCAAGTTCAAAGATCTAATGTGAGGTGGGCACAATGGAGGAAGCTTCTCAGGGTGTCATGCTGTACCCCCTTCTGAACTGATGCTTTAAGCACAGACACCAGCCAGAAACCACACAGGCATCTTACCCCCGTGAACTTCTCCAAGGAGGGAAGATAAGCACAGTCATAAGAAACAAATCTGCGTGGGACTGCTCTTGGCTGAGTCTTCTAAATCTCGCCTTGAGACCCTTCAACCATGTCTTCCCCCAACAAGCACCACACAGAAGTCACCCACTCTCTGGTGCACATTCTTCACATCTCTGCACTGGGTGGGGCCTTGGAAGGTAGGGAGCATGTGTGATGAGGTAGTTAGGGCTTGGCAGCCAACTGTGAACATGTGAGTCTGGGCATTCTTGCACTGGGAGCTGGCCTTCAGCTGGGATTTTTTTCTCACGTCACGTGACGTGAAAGGACCTTTGGAAGTCCTGGTCTAGGAAGAGGCGGGATGAACAGCAGCACATGGCAGGCAGTGTCCCCAGTGGCTGCCCACCAACTCACATGGCAGAATTCGCTGCTGGGACAGGAGTTAGGGCCAGCTTACCTTCGGGGCTTTCCTCTTCAGGGTGGGGACCGTGCAGGACTCCACTGTATGGGGGGAGCTGCATAGGGGTGGGAAACAAAGTTTAATTCAACAAAAGGCTGACACCCAGACACCTCCCCCAGCAAGGAAGCACTCTGCTCAATGATTTCTTTATCCCCACACACCACGTGCCATCACTCTTACCAAAGTCACACACAGTCCAGAGAAAATGCTCACTTAAGGGGAAAAAAGAAAACAACAACACATGATGGGACTGCTTTGAAATATTTCCCTTATTAAACAGATCCAATAGGCACACACACAAAGTGTCACACTGGCCTCCAGTGGACACACAAAGCAGCTACAAGAAAATGCTCGTCACCACCCTTTTCCCACACAGGGACATGAAGGACTCGCTTTAAGTGACAGACTCTACTGTCCCACGCGTGACTCAGCGGGGGGCTCGGGCTCCCCAGCCCACAACTGCAGCCCAGGCCCTGTGGTGTGGGTGGGGTCTACTACCATAATGGAGCAAAGCCTGCTGGGAAGAAATGGCTAGGGACCCTGGTCCACTGCGAACTGAGTGAATGCCGAAATCACATTCCTTTTTGGGGAGGAGAAAGGCAAAATGGCAAGTGCCCAAGGTCATGGACTTCCTGCTTTTCCAAAATAGTCACGGGGGTAGGGCTGGCTCCGAGGCCAGATGCAGGGTGAGAAAGCTTGCTGAGGCAGGGGTAATTCATGCCCCCTAACGCAGAAGAGACAAGTTCAAGTTATGGGGGGATGCTCTCCCACAGAATCGGTGACAGACAGGAAGCTAAGAAAACCAGGTTAGATTGTGGTAATGATTGTTCAATTCTTCTTTATATGATTGAACTATTGAATTTTATGTTAAGTGGATCAAGTGTCAATAAAACTGTTAAAATGAAAGGAAGGAAGAAAACTGGGAAGCCTTCCGGACTGGAGAGCTGACCCTCTCTCACTGGGGGCACTGGAGGCCTGCTTCCTGGGCAGCAACCAAGACCTTTGATGTATGTGCACAGGCCACCCAACAGCTGCCACCAGCAGTCACCACTACACAGCAGCACCAGGGGCCTAAGGAAGTGAGTGTGGCCCACGTCCCTCAGCAGTTTCCAGGGGACACCAACACAGGGCTTCACTGTGACTCCTGGGTGCCCCCTGGAGACAGAAAATGATAAAATTGGAAGGCCCTAAATCACTTTATACAAAATCATTATAACTATGCCTTCTCTGAGTCAAGCAGCTTTGTGTCACAGACATTAACAAACAGTCTTATAAAAGAGCTGCCGCTGATGTCACAGCACGTGCCAAAGGACAAACTCCTCCAAGCCAACCCTCTCTGCTGCCCCTCCCCTGCCCTACTCAGACACTAGAAGCTCCTGGGAACTCGTTCCAGTGCAGGTCAGCTGACAACATGAGCATGTGTTGAAAGCATTTACGTTAAGTAGATACCCCAAGTTTTAGTTTTTTACTCTTTCAAGTTTAGGGGAAGGAACCAGGGTTTGTTTCAGAAAATGAGTACATTCCATTACGTCCCCTCTCCTCCCATCGTGTTGCGTGTACTGGTGTTAACTGTTAATGATTTTAAGCACGCCAGGGATCTATCTAACCAAAGTAAAAAGGGAAATTCAAATTAATACACTGTGTTTCTTAGGGCAATAAAATATTTCTGTGCAATTCCGTAGAATAAGAGTTGAAGTTTTTAGTTTCCTAATAAAAATATCTTACCTCCGAAGCTCTAAGTTTTAGACCTCAAGAATCCCAGATGAAGGGGTGAAAAGTGGGCCCAGCCAGATCCAATCTTGACCCTTTGATGCTTCTCCTCTAAAAGATCCACTTCCTCAGCCCACCCCCACCCCACTGTGTCTGTACATGCACAGTATATAGAGGCATTAGGTTTTATTAAAAGTTAACTAAATTTTACTTCATAGGCCATTCTCTCTCTCCCTCTTTTACCTGCTTCAGGGCATTTTGCAGGGTTTGTATATAAAGACGTTGAACATGCGCCCCACCCCCATGGCTTTATTAGTTCCTGAATTAAAACACAAAGAGAGCACTAAGAAAAGCCCTGGATAAATGGTAAGTCCACACCCACACAGATGCTGATGTCCCCACAAATTAGTCCTTAATTCTCACGGGGCCCAATGAAAACTTCAGTAGTTTTTCACATAACCGAACACACTGATTATTAAGACCCAAAAGACAGGATTAAAGGATGGAGGAGGACAAGGATCACAGGACCAACGAGAAAGGTTGTGTCCCCAGCAAGCGTGACCCTCAGCTCCAGCCAGTACTCTGTCCACTGGGGTGTAGAAGGGGGGCAACACAAGAGACACAGAGAAGGGGGATGAGAAGCAGATTTGGCCCATGTGACCAAGGACAGAGCTCTCCTGAGCCATGCCCTGGAGGGGAGGGGGTCTGGGAGAAGGGCTGCCCCATATCCAACACACACAACCTATATCGCCCTGCCAGGTGTACTACATACCAAGTGTGAAAGCAAAAACCTTAAACGTGAAAGAAAATAGGCAAAGGACTTTAGAATGGGGAAGAATTGCATTTAAAATATTTTTAAGAGCCCAAAAAACAACAAAAGTAAAAAAAGGCTGATATAGTTGACATTAACGTTAGAAATGTACTCTTCTGGAGTGTGAGGTAGTGCATAAAAACGTCTGTGTGCTGGGAAGAGAGATGCTTGTAAGACCCACAAGAAGGACCCCAGCCCTGGCCAGCGAGGAGAGTGGGCTGGGGGCTCAGCGCCTCAGCGTCACAGCCAGCACGTCCAGAGCCAATCTGCACACTGACCCTACGGTCCTGACGCCGCTGGCGGCCATCAGGAATCGCCCACGAAAACCACGTGACTCCATTATCACTCAGCACTGCCAGGGACAGAGTGCTCTCCCTGACTGGGCACTCATTGGGCATCTGGGGGAAAGGGGAGCATGTCGAGAGAGTAGGACACCAGCATGCTGAGGCAGTGACATGGACAGCCCGGCTGGGGGGTGTTCACTCAACGCTGCTCAGCAGATAAAGTGCAAGAGAGCAACAAGGAAAAGGGTCTGCCAAGAAAATCTTCCTCTCTCACTTCCCTGCATGCTGGGGCTCCTCAATACCAAACATGGATTTCAAAAAAGGATGCTGAAACAAACAACGGTGCATTTCACTCACACATCAACTCAAAGTGTCGTCTTACCTCTACTGAAGAACGAGGTGTCACGAAGAACTGATTGAACTCATCGGGACTAAAGTCTCCAAAAATATACTGTAAAAAAATCAGAAAGAGTCACTGAGCACAAGATATACAGAGCTACATACTTTCAGAAAATATGGCCCCGCCCCCCAGCATGCAATGGGCTACAGGGCCAGAACCCAAGTGAAGCCAACCAGGGAGGCACTGACCCCCAGGTGGTGCTGTCCAAGGACCAAAAGTAGGCACTGCCTAACTGTCCCTAAATCCGTTGGCAGAGCATCTTTCACCCGGGGACTCTAGGGCGCAGTGCTCAGCTCACAGTTCCCAACTGTCCCAGCAGCCTGAATGCTGGCTCCTCCCACCAGCCCCATCTATGTTCTCCGCCATCCGGACCAATGGCAGGCAGGTGGGAAATTCCCTACAAGTGGAAAGATGATCTCAAACATATACATGCAGATATTCAATTTTTAGTTGAAAAACTGCATTGGATCATAACACACACACACACACACCTACTTAAGGCCCTCACTTCACACAGCCCTGGCTGTGCCCCTTGGAAAAGCAGCAGGTGAAGCAGCCCATGAGCCAGTTTGGCAACTGTGCTGCCCCACTGAGAGCATCATCTCCCCTAAGCATCGCAAAAGGACCATGGAGGGAGCAAGTCATGTATTGGGGGGTGGAGGAGCACTCTCCAGAACTGACACTGATTGCACAACTCAATTTAAAAGGGATTTAACCGGGGATGTTCTAAAACTGATTGTGGTAATTAATGATGGTACAACTCTTCTTGTCATGATTGAACTATCAAATGGTGTGATATGTGAATTAAATGCCAATCACACTGTTGAACAAAGAGAAAGAAAATCAATGATACAGACAAGCAGACTCGATATGACTTCAGCAACTCACCAGTAACTACTGGGAGCCTAATGTGCTGGAAGGAGCTCTGCTGGCTCAGTGAGCATGTGCCGGCCACTAACCAAAGGTCTGTGGTTGGAACCCACCAGTAACAGTGCAAGAGGAAGCTGCGGCAGTCTGGCCCTGTAAGGATGAGAGCCTTGGAACCCGACGGGGCAGTTCGGTCCGCCTGCAGTGGGCTGTGCACGGGCCTGGATCAATACTGGAGTCAAGCTGGTTAGCAGAGTGGGTCTCTAGGAACTTAGAAGCCCTGGTGGTGCAGTGGTTCCAAGTTAGGCTGCTAACTGCAAGGTCAGTAGTTGAAAGGCACAGCTGTTCCTCAAGAGAAAGAAGATGATTTCTAATTCCATAAACAGTAACAGTCTCAGACACCCAAAAGGCAACTCTAGCCTGTCTTCTGTGGTCACGACGAGTCGGAATTAACTTGTCTCCATGGGTTCGAGTTTTTTGGAGTCTAATAACTTACAGGGCAATGACAAGGACATGATTCAAAAGACCAGCTGAAATGGAATGCTATTAAAGTGGATAAAGTCCATCATCGTACATCAAAACCAAACCAGTGTGTCAGGGGCGAGCTGTCCCTCACAGGGCCAGCAGGGGCCTATTACCAGAGGGGCAGGCAGGCCTCAGAGACCACAGGTTCCGCACGAGACGGCTGCTATCACATGGTTGTGGCAATGCTGTGAGGCCAGGAACCCTGTGTCCCAGCACCTGCACCAGATACTGGCCCTGCCCTACAGTGCGTGAAGCATGCAAGAGCACAATGTAAAGTTGTAAGTACCATGCAAGTGACTGGGCACAGACAGGGTGGGCAGTAGAGGGGGGTGCTGCCGGAATATAGAGCCGACAGACCGGCTCGATGCAGGGCTGACACAAAGCTGCCTTTTGCAAGAAGTGCAATGGTGCGAGCAGCCTGCATATCAGCCAGGATCCTCTTGGTGAACCCCTACCTCCAACCTCCCAGCCAGCAGCCAAGTGCCAAGTTCATCATCTGCACCTGGGGATGTCCTGGTTATCACTGCAGAAGGCATGCACAGGTGGTGGCTAAGATTGGCAGGGAGGAGAGGCATTTTGAGACGCTGGTGATATGGATCATGGCTGCAAGCGGACAGTGGACCAATCAGGTACAGACACCCACATGTAACACTCTCAGAGCCCACACCACACAGACCGCTCTGGGTGATGACGGTGAAAACAAGCAGTGTCCCAACAGGACTTAGAACCAATCTGAAATGAGTGTGTGGTGAGCTTGGACCAGCCCTGGGGAATGGCTGCCCGACGTTCCCATGGCACAGTGTGTGCAATGGCAGGAAAAGGTTGCAAGGCGGAGAGGAAGCAGAAAGGTGAAATGTGCACGTGCACATACACACAGAGACCTGCCGACTGTCTTTCCTCGAGTCCCACTTCAGACAGCACTAGATGTCTGGAGAAAACACAAAACCTACTCAGGACACACACCATGCCCACATGCTGATGCTTACAGCAACTCTACCTGTCCCGGTCCACCAGGCGTGGGCAGTGCAGCCTCAAACCCCAGAGCTGGGCAAACCTTCGCCTGGCACCATTATGAGCCTTGGTCAGGTGGAACCAGAGGACTGACCACATAGGGACACAGGAACTCACTGGGGGATGAGCCTGTCCACAGAGGAAGAAGGATGCTGGAGAGACAGAGGGACACCTGACCTCAGAAAATGACAAGACCTGTAAGTCGGCCACCAAAGTGACAGTGACCACCTGAAGTGGGGGAGCAGAGCAGAGCCGAGGCAGGGAAGTGTCGGCCCACAGCCTCATGGAGACTACGGAGTAGGCCTGCAGCTACTTCAGCCAGCCCTCTGGGCTTTCCCTGGAGGAGACTCGAGGGCTCCCAGGCCTTGTCTCTAGATCTAGAAGGCCTGGGAAACAGGCCAGAAAAACTGACAACAGCAGTGGCCAATTCCAGAATTCTCTACACATCAAGGAAACACACACCTCTCTGCAGAAGACTGCCACCACAGCATAGCACTAGGGGGCGCTGGGGTACAGCACTCTGAGCCTCCTCAAATGCATCAAACCTTTCTCTGGGCAGAAAGGGAATGAGAGGCAAGGGGCATTTATAGAGGTCTAAATACAGGCATGTACAAAAGTAAATATATTTATGTATGAGGATGGGGAAATAGAACTACATGCATATATTTATAGGTTTAGTATTAAGGTAGCAGATGGACATTGGGCCTCTACTCAAGTACTCCCTCAATGCAAGAACACTGTTCTATTAAACTGGCATTCCATGATGCTCACCTTCCCAACACGATCACTGAAGACAAAGCGAGTGCATAAGCAAATATGGTGAAGAAAGCTGATGCTGCCCGGCTATCAAAAGATATAGTGTCTGGGGTCTTAAAGGCATGAAGATAAACAAGCGACCATCTAGCTGAGAAGCAACAAAGCCCACATGGAAGAAGCACATCAGCCTGTGTGATCATGAGGTGTCAAAGGGATCAGGTAGCAGGCATCAAAGAACAAAAAATCATATAGTTGTGAATGAGGGGGAATGCAGAGTGGAGGGCCAAAGCCCATCTGTAGGCAACTGGACTTCCCCTTACAGAAGGGTCGCAGAGAGGAGACAAGCCAGTCAGAGTACAGTATAGCACAGATGAAACATAAAACTTCCCTCTAGTTCTTTAAAGCTTCCTCCCCCACCACCATGATCCGAATTCTACCTTACAATCCGGCTAGACCAGATCATGTACACTGGTACAGATCAGAACTGGAAACACCGGGAATCCAGGACAGATAAACCCCTCAGGACCACTGAGAGTAGCAACACCAGGAGGGTAAGAGGAAGGTGGGGGAGAAAGGGGGACCCATCACAAGGATCTACATCTAACCCCCTCCTTGGGGGACAGACAACAGAAAGGTGGGTGCAGAAAGGTGGGTGGAGGGAGACATCAGACAGTGAAAGACATGAAAAAATAAGATAATTTATAAATTATCAAGGGTTCATGAGGGAGGGAGGGGAGGAAGAGGGAGGGTGGTGGAGGGAGGGGAAAAATAAGAAGCAGGTACCAAGGGCTCAAGTAGGAAGAAAATGTTTCGATAGTGATGATGGCAACAAATGTACAAATGTGCTTGACACATGGATGGATGTATGGATTGTGATGAGTTGTACGAGCCCCCAATAAAATGATTAAAATTTTTTTAAATGATTTAAATTTTAAAAAAAGAAAGGGAATGAATACATAGGCTGGCTATCTCCCCCTCCCCCCAAACGAATGTCTCCTCCCACCCAAAGGGCTGATGGGAAGAGGAGTCCATCAGCGTCGAGGCAGACCTGGAGCCTGTGGTCAATCAGTTCCCCAGGTCTGCTGGACAGCTACCAGCCCAGCTCTGCAGACGGTTGACCTCCCATTTATAGATGTGAAGCCAGGTCACACCAAGGTGAACGACAGAGCCATGGTCACAGTGAGAAAAGTGCAAGGTGTTTCCACCCTCACCTGACAGAGATGTAATAATCATCATAAACTCAGGGAAGGAGCCCTGGTGGCACTGTGAGTTAAGCACCAGGCTGAGAACCAGGCTATCAGTGGTTCAGGCCCACCAATCACTCTGTGGGAGACGGATCGGGCTGTTGGGGCAACACACAGTGGGGCCAGAGTGGAAAGGGAACGCAGTGGGAAAGTAAGAGTTCAAGGGAAACAGTGTGCACATACTGTCTGCAGTAACGGAGGAGAGGCACATGGCTGGATGCACTGGGGTCCCTCGTGGGTACCCCACGAATATATATAGCTTCGACAGAGGATGTTGGTGAGGGTGTATTTACCTTTGCTGCAAATAGATCCATGCATGTGGTGGAGCATATGGACAAAGTTATGGAAAGGTCTTAGAACCAAGCATCTGGAGGGAATGAGCAGCTGGCCAGAGAGCTCAGGACCACAGCCTCAGAGACAGCAAAGTCACCTGGCCTAGCACAGTCACAAAGACAGTGTTCTACACCCTACTTTGGTAAGTAGCAACTGGGGTCTTAAAAAGGACTGTGAGCAGCCATCGAGTTATTGGTTTTTCCCCATCGGAGGAAAGCAGTGTAACGACAACCAAAGGCCCAGGCAGCAATGAGCCCCATGGACTAATGGAGCAGACCCTGAGACCAGACCCTGCAGGTCTGGAAATGAACTCAC